AAGGCAATACAACAGAGGAGAGCTCTTCGACATCTTTAAAAAAGACGGTCCTAAGTAGAGTCGCTGAAAAATTTGACAAATTTAGGTGAGTACGCATACCTATGTGTATAGTTTACCAAACTACTGGTTTCTCGTATAAGAAGCAATAATTTTGCCAAATAGTCCGATATCTCACGAATAAACTAATGTATATAAAAACTATAATGATTATGCTATTTTGTATAGCCTGTGTATAATGGATGGCTTTCTGTTTTGGAACACCTTGTATATTGCATTTTTCAAAAAATTATACTAACGCATCTTGTAATAAAGAGGAATGTTTACCATAATAAGAATCGACGTTCACATGGCCCGGGTAGCTCAGTCGGTAGAGCATTGGACTTTTAATCCAAGGGTCCAGGGTTCAAGTCCCTGCTCGGGCGGTAATCTTTTTTATTTAAAATTCAGTTTAATAAATATTCAGCAACTAGTATGTGTACCCGATTTGCCTAATATGTTATCTCTTTTTATAAAGAAACAATAAATTGTAAATTTTATTTTATTAATGCCAACGCTAATCATATATAGCATATTTTAGAAAGATTCTAACAACCTTCGATAGCTCAGTTGGTAGAGCGGTGGACTGTAGTGGCTAATCAATAATGGACATCCATAGGTCGCTGGTTCAAATCCGGCTCGAAGGATACTTTTTTTATTCCATTTTGGTATTAAAATACCTAATAAATTTGTTAATAATAATTTTAGTTCAATTGTTACGAAATCGTTTTAATTCCCATCAGATACCAGTGTCATCACATTTAAATAATGTATTTTAAGTCAGACATGGGTATTAGGTACCTAGGTATTTCTAATAATAGTTTGTGGCTAAGTAGGCTTGCCGCTTCACATCCTTTTATAGCTGGCTATTTATAAATAGTTTAAAGCTGCCGAATTGGGACTTAAAATCTTTAACTCTACTATAACTTATAATTGCGGTGCCATTCTAGCTCGCATTCTAGGTACATAAATATTATTAGGATACCATAGCGTTTTATAAATAAAAAAGTTTATGTAATATTATTACTTATTAGTAAATATTAAAATTAATTATAGTATACTATCAGAGCCTTTTTAAGTTGTTATAGATTATCAATGTCTAATACATGTTGTAGTATAAGTTAGCTGTAATAACAAAATTGTTCAAGTCCTCGGTAGTATAGTGGTCAGTATCCCCGCCTGTCACGCGGGAGACCGGGGTTCGATTCCCCGCCGGGGAGGCTTTTTTTTAATTTAAGATTATTCTTTTTTAATGGTAGACTCTTACCATTGATTAAAGTATAGTAATACTTTAATCAATGCTCTTACTTGCCTTACTACTTTTACCCCAGTTCTTTCGTATCTATATTATTTATAAAATTCTGTAGATTGGAAAAGGGCATAATGTGTCCTAAAAATCTATAAAATTGGTATTCTTTGAAATTTACAAAGTTTGATTTTTAAAATAATTATATTATAAAGAATAAATGTAAGTTCAACGCTTAAAAACTTCTGTAACACACTTATACTGTACGCACTGCTGGTGTAGTGGTATCATGCAAGATTCCCATTCTTGCGACCCGGGTTCGATTCCCGGGCAGTGCAAAATACTCTTTTTATGTGTAATTTTGTTTTTAATTTTAATAGAAAGTTTTGTTTTTTGGGAAATAATAATCAACACCGAAAACGTAAATAATCGTTTTCTTTTTAGAAATAGAATTAAAAGAAATATAGTTTATCGTTATTACGATGTTGGAACTCTCAAGAGTGTTTAAAATAGATACGTACTAAAAAAGCAATTTTGAAAAATTTGTCAAAACAAACCATTTTCTTAGAAGAGTACAAAATTATTCGAATATTGTTTAAATCGTTAATGGTAAAAAAGAGCTATTCCGGTACCGGGAATCGAACCCGAGCCTCCTGGGTGAGAGCCAGGTATCCTAGCCACTAGACCATACCGGATTGTAATGTGTGTTATAACAGTGAGTAAATGAAGAGCAAATTTGTACTATGCAACCAATTATACAAATATAGGTATAATATTTTTGTTTGTTTTTTAATTTAATAATTGATATACAACATTATTTTAAGCAAACGGTTATTAACATCTTGTATAACGACATTTATTTCTAGTAATAAATGTAGTGAAAAGTAAGAAGTAAAATTGCCAAGATAATACGAAAATTAAGGACTTATTTCATAAAAAACAGCGTCAATAAGTAGAACCCCAATTATTAAATAGTTAAAGCTATAGTAAAATAAATAGTATTAGGATACTAAAGATACTTCAAACAGTATGTGGTATTGATCGTGAAAAATAATAATTCTAATTCAATAATTATTGAATAATCTTTAAAGACTGTACAGCTAAATTACCATAAAAGTTTCCAACCTTTCCAACCTACTAAACTATTACATTGGTGTAAAACTATTACATTGGACATTAGGTATCCGTAAGTCTCCGCCTCGACTTCAATAATGTGTAACACATAAGAAGGGAAACGCCCATTAACATTTTTTGTGACCATCTACCCCCGCAACAAACAAAATACCCAAAAATATCATGTTAGGTTGGAAACTTTTATGGTAATTTAGCTGTACATCAACTGTTCAAGTAGTGGTATTAAAATACGAGCCTGGCAGTGCGATGGTGGTGTAATGGTCAGCATAGTCAACGACCATACACTAATAAGACATTTCACACTGTACAATTTTCTATCTCCCAAGTTTTATTTTTGTCTACATTCCTTTTAACCTACGCGCCGGCGCATAACGTTTAATTCATTCATTTGCATTTGACAGGAACGGAAGACCTGCGATCGTCGCGCCACCGTTTGTATGCACAGGTTCGGCTTCTATATTTTGTGTTAAGTTAACGTTAAAAATAACTTTAGACCAGCTATCGGCTTCAGGTAAAATTCCACAAACCCGACCTGGCCGACTTAGCAGCAACAACTCTAGACGTCTAGTTATTTTCTATTTCAGTTCTTTGAATTGGCGATCTTAGCAACCGAAGGATAGATGTTGCAAGTAGGTGATATTTTATTTGGTTACGCTATTTTACTATCAATTGCGCAGAGCAAATGCATTTATGGTCGAATTTTGCAACTGTGCGCAATTAGAGAGAGAGAAAAGTTTGATCCACACCATGAATGAATGTGAAATGTCTTATTAGTGTATGGTCGTTGGCATAGTTGCCTTCCAAGCAGTTGATCCGGGTTCGATTCCCGGCCATCGCATAATTTTTTTATAATAATTATTATTAACTTTTCTTATTATCCTCGTTTCTCTTTATGTCCCCAGGGAAACAATTTATTTATAGTTATTCCCACCCTAGAATTTTACTTTGTTTATTAAAACCTTATTAAAGTTATATTCGAATTTGTATGTCTAGGTCAAATTTAATATTTTTGCAATGCCATCATTAAACACCAAAAAAAGTTATTCTTTTCGTCTGCATATTCTGCACTAGTTCTAAAAAGAGTAAAGAGTGTAGCTAAAACTGGCATTCTTTTCGACGAGTGTAGGTGTCCTCATAATGTTCCTTTCGTCCATTGTTGCAGTACCAGAACTGCACAAAGTACACCTCCTTTTTATTATCGGGTGTGAATGGTGCAGATGACAAAATAGCGTAATCTGTCAAGATATTAAAATATTTTGAGGTTATAAACGCTTCTTTGAGAGAGGTATTTCATATTTTCGATTTTAATATTATGGACAAAGCCTATTTAAAAATAAGGAAAAAATAAACCTGTATTAAAGACGGGTGCTACATATTCTCTCGTACTATAGGATACGAGTCCATAATATTACAGTCTACTCACTATGAAATATTAAATTATCAATTTCATCATCCTCGCTGGAAGAACTAGAAAATAAAACGTCCATATCCATCTTAAAAGAGCACAAATATTTTAAATAAGGAACAGGAACTTGCACTCAACTGGTTAGGTTATTTTGTGATGCCCATAATTCGAACTTTTTATTTAGTTCGGTACTATATAGCATAGATAAATTAAGACTGACTATATAGTACGACTGGCTTAGAACCGGCGCACACCAAATATGCACTACATTTTATCTGTAACACGAACACCAAGTGTAGACGAAAAGAATTGACCTAATGAGTCCATGGGCGAGTTCCAGACCATTGTCAAACACAGACTCACAGATATATTTAGGTGTTTTTTGCCATAGAAAACCAATATATTTAGTGATATCTTTTCTATGGATTTGTGCTCACAGATTTAGTAGATGTTCAGGATGTTCTGTGCTCACAGACACAGAGGCCGTCCAGTGTAACAGTGACGTGACGTAAACAGAAACAGAATAATTTTTTTATGGATATCTAAATCTAGCTGATAAATCCTCAAAAACCGCGTGTGCATTTAAAATAACAACTATCTTTATAATTTAGTGAAAAAATAGTGGTTGGTGGATAAAGCAAATCATGTCACGTAAATATCGTTTTCAGTATAACCTAATTCTTACCAGGTGATGGTATGTGTACGTCTTTTGGCTATAGTAATTATTTGTTATTGAGATTATTGCGAATCGTATATTATTTAAATAAAATGGCATCCCTTTGGGTTGGTTCAGATGTGGACTTGTCCATATTACACCAATGTAGAATGGCTGAGAGGTTAGAATTTAGGTTGGCCTGTTTACATAATAAAAAGTCCTCAAATAATGAACGTGTACATAGAAAATTAGGTGAATTGTTTGATAAACATGCATATGAAGAGGACGAAGATTTTTTAAAGAGGAGAAGAAGGTCAGGAACTTGGCCGTAAGTGCTATTGATGTTATTTTATGTTTTTTTGTTAAACTTGTAGGTATTTAAGATGGTTGTAGTTCCATATTAAATGTTCCATTAACGTTACATTAAAGTAAAATGACCTAGGTAGTTATGATATTTAAATTTGGAAATGATTTATATATTATTCATTTTATTCATATACCACTTGTAGAAATATATTTTACACTTCTTTTTGGTCTAGTGGCTATAATACCTGGCTTTCACCCGGTAGGACCGGGTTCGATTCCCGGAACTGGAATTACTTTTTTGCTTTTTTTTGTTGCCATTTATTATAAATAGTTGACGTATGTGTCAGGGGTAAAATATTTTTTTCTAATAGGTACCTAGTAAAATGTTGAATTCACCTTTTTGAAAGGATAATATGTAAATATAGATATCAACCTATATTATAGCAGCTATAATTATTATACTAGTACTGGTCGATGTTTATTGATGTTTTTGAAACATCGATGTTTAGCCAGCGATGTTTAATGGTTTTGCCTTAATGTTAATGTTACAAACATTCACCAAACGGAAAAAATGTATTATATTTAATTATTAATTGTAATTAAGGATAATTCTGTCAAAAAACAATAGGTACTCATACATTATACAGTATGTAACGAAAAGTTCAACATCGATGTTTCGTGTGGATACCAATAAGTTATACGTGGTTAGGGCGGTTAGGGTTATCTCTGGTTATAACACCAATGTGGGCCAAAGACCAAAGTTCTGTCACAGCATAGACTATGCTGTGGTTCTGTGGTGAAGTGGTTATTGATCATTTCCCTATTGTATGTTTGGTTGCCTAACTACATGTCGATACCTTCGTTTCCCGAATCCCGACGGTCGTCACATCGCGTATAATGTAAAACCTCTCAATATTCTCAATCCACATTCCACAACAATAATTTTGCAATTATTTTTAGTTACCTGGATGGGTTAACTACTTAACTTATCTAGGAAACAAATAAAAAAATTCTTAAAAAAGTTACGACGCGACGTGGTGACGCTGATGTAATAAAAATATACCAGACAATAAAACAAATTTATTTAATAATAATTATTTATATTTTTATAAAAAACAATTATAAACAGCCCTTACAGATATGCGTTTATTATTAAACCTAGGAGGTTAAGCCGCAAAAAAATAACATGAAATACCTATGTAACAGATTTAAAATCCACCAATCTACAATTATTTGAAAATTACTTATCTACATAATCACAATTTTGTAATGATCTATAATCTATAACTATGCAGCAGTTGTCAGCTACAAAGGCAGGCATTTGTAAAATCTGTAGGTATTTTTTATTATTATATTGTGACAACTGATTTATCTTTAGTAAAACCATGTTGAAAACTTACATACTTTGGCAAACTACAACCTACAATCACAATAAACTTGTGTAGATTTAAGAAATCGAAATAGTAGTAAGTAATAAAGATAAATATCTATTTATTCACATTAACCCATAATCGTTTATGTACTTCAATATTATAACAATCGTTGACAGATTTTGGGCACTCCAACAATCTGATAAAGAATAATGTCCTAGCTATATAGACTATCAAGAATATAAGTGATCTGAAGTTTGTCGGTGCAAAGTCAATGCCAGGGTTGCAACACTTATTACGTCACACGTATAATGAGCGGGAGGGGCTTCCAAATGCGAGTAGCTAATGGATGGTGAGTGGGTGTGACGCTACGTAGTTTTGCATAGATAGAAAAGAAGTTGCCCATATCGCCTTCTACCAAAGCTTATAATAGAAGTATGTAGGTATCAAATCGAGTCGTGTCATGAGTATGTGAGGTTTGATCAATTAAAATAAACAATGAAACCAAATTGAAGCAACTAAAATTTTGTTTCATTATTTGCTCGTAGGAGGTCGATGTTTGTAGACGCTTTTCCGTAAATTGGTGTCCACCTATTATGTCAGAACTAAGATCAATACAATTGGGGGAGGGATAAAACACCTATATAATTTTTACATATAAGCAGAACGTCTGGACGTGATTGTAGATAGTTCAACAACGTTTTATTTGCGCTCTATGTCATGCGTTGATAAACAAAGCCAAACAGTTTTCTCGTGTTATGTGGGATTTAAAATTATCTCAGTTTTACTAGCAGCACCGACGTATTTAAACGTTGTATATTGCTCTGACAGTGTGATATATGGTTAACTTTTATTTAATTTTCCAATAATGTCTTCGAACAGTAATAGCTATTCCAGATGTGTCAGTTTGGTAGATGCACAGGAAATGACAAGGTACTTAATGAAATAATGAATAATAATCATTGTTTTTCCTTTTTGACGATTTTTATCTTATTGGTAGTCCTAACCGTTCAGATAGAACCGCAGTTGCAAAACTTTGTCTAACCAACATTCACTGATACAAATGACAGCTGTTATAATTATTAGCGCCGACCATATACTTGATACTGGCGCCGACTTCTATATTGGAGACCGGCCCCGACCTCTATACTTGATACCGGCGCCGGTAATAATTTTAGTACATATGATCATGTTTATTAATTTTATTTTATAACAAGATTAACAGCATGCCAGTTTTTTTTTCAGTTTTTGAAATTATTAAATTAAAATTTTCACAATATACCTAGAGTATAATACAGTACGTCCATAAAGTAAGGAATATTCTCATTTTTAGCTAAACAAATAATTCTGATAAAAATTCTCGAGACAGGTCGATAATTTTTTTAATTTACTGTATTTTCACATAGCACTTGAATATACAGAGTGAACCATCTTCGAGCGACGATGACATTGACATTTTTTTAAATGGAACACAAAATATTTTTTCTTATTTTTAGACTTCACTTCATTCTTCACTTATTTACTTTATTTACTTCATGGACATGATAACTAAAGCATGTTTGTTATTTCCAGAAGAACAAGATCGCTGAACGCACCCTCTCCCGTCCAACAGTTTGGACCATGTGGTCGTATTATGAAAAATTCTGCAATGGTAATGTGAGTATTCCATTTTTTATCTGGTTTAGTGTCATTTAGGGCCGGTACATCTATCTTTTGTTAAGTGATTGTTAAATAATGCGACATTTTCGACCTTGATTTCATACATTTTTTTATTCCTAACTGGCTTCTAGGTTAGTGTTTATATTTGCTTAACACAGGGCCAGATTAAAGGGGCTAACACCTTTGGACATCCACGAATTTTTATTCTTTTAAAAATTTTATTTAAAAAACTAGTAGTAAACAGAAACTTATACGTTGTTTTACTATTAATATTTTATAAAGTTAAATTACTTCAGGTACAAGCGTAAAATCACCAGCTTTTTTTTGTAAAATACCCAAATTCTTGTTAAACTTTTGGTGCAAAAATAAAAAAAGTGTTAAGAACAAGGGTGCCCTGTTCTGGTGTACACGTGGTATCGGCGTGAGCGAGGAGGACGCTGAGTCGTTTAGCTGACAGGGGCCTTATTTTGGAAATGCGGCTGGATAAACATTCGATGACGAGACTCGGTCATGATTGTCACGTACTTAGAAAACTAGTATTGTAAATTACCAGAAATATAAATCACTGTGTTATCATCATAATTTTGTTAATAAACGCTTAAAATTGGAATCTATAATAGTTATTCACGATTGAACTTAACATCAGAAGTCGGATAAAGGGCACACGTGCTTTTGTTTTAACTAGTGTGTAGTGTGTTTGTGCAGTTTGCGCAACGAGACATTATTGGTGTGTTTAATAAACGGCAAGTGTGGTGGTAGTTAGGTATGTCAGAACGACAAAGAGTTACCCGGCGAGGGTATAGGCAACGTTCCGTGGACTCCCAGGACCAACAACGGGCCCGTCGACGCAGTCGTAGCCCTCAGGCTACGAAGAGGCAGAGAACAATCGGATCTTCAGAGAGGTGGGTTTCTCGACGCTCTCGAAGAAGTGATGATTTGGAAGATGGGTCGTTGTCACGTCAACCAACTTCTTTGGAACGGCGGCGCAGGCAGGGACATCAACGTTCTCGTAGTCAGGAGCATGGACGTACGGGAAGGTCACCTGTAAGTGTGGCAACCATGTCACAACTGGGGGATGCCATTGTGGAAGGTATGGCTAAGTTGGTCGAGCAGTTTAAGGTAAAAGATAAAAATCCATTGGTAAGTGTTAACACCCTCACTAACACCCTTATTGCCGAATTCAATCCACTCACACAAAATGTTAAAGAGTGGATAGAAGCTGTCGATGAATATGCATATATTTATCACTGGGACGATAAAACTATTTCCCATTTAGCATTAACTAAATTGCGCGGCCCGGCTGAAGTATGGTATCGTGGACTACCAACTCGAATATTTACGTGGCCGGAGTGGAAAGAAATGTTATTACAAAATTTTAAACCAAAGCGGGATTTAAATAGAGCCCTTCAAGCTATGATGGCTTGTGTCCCAAAATCGGGTACTACATTATACGAATACACTTTTGAAAAACTGGCGTTAATACACAAATTAAAACTGGGTATTTCTGAGGAAGATAAAGTAAATTTAATTATGGGGGGAATTAGTGATCAACAGGTAAAGTTCTCTGTGGAAACCGCGGGAATTCGCGATCCTGCTGAATTAGCTAACCATCTTAAGACGCTTGATGAAAAAAAATATGGGGTGGACGTACCTGTTCTCGGTGTATCGGGTACCAAAAAGGACAAAGGAAAAACCGGGGAAAAGGGCAAAGTTGTTATAAAAAATTGTTGTTATCAATGTGGGCAGAGAGGTCATTATCGAAGAGACTGTCCGCAAGGACCTTCCAGCGTGAAGGCAATTGAATACAGGCACGTAAATGTTTTAAAAGCGGGTCTAGATAAAAACGAAAAATTTTTCAAAAAATATTTTAATAAATGGGTTCACCATAAAATGTTTCATAGACTTTGGAAGTGAATGCTCTTTGATCACAAAACGGGCGGCGGAAACCATGTCTTTGAAATTGACGCCACTCGAATGTGTAGTTGTTTTGTCTACTGCTTTCGGGCAGCAGATAAAACCTACGTTGTTTGCACGTACAAATATAGAAATAGACGGTGTCGCAAGATTTGTCGAATTGTACATAATCGAAGAGTGTGTCATGGGCGTGGAAGTGCTGATTGGGCAAAACTTCACAGAAATGTATGATGTATGTTATTCTAAAATGGGTAACACGTTGCTTTTCAAAGAGAATAACACATCGAATTTTTTTGTAAATTCGATTGATAATACTGTGGTTAATGTAGGAATTGATCAACGAGAAAT